AGAAGTGATTTAATAGGTTTATATCTGGTAGGACTTCTATATGAAGTTGTGTAGCTTTTTATGTCTAGCATATGTGTTTCAACTGATTTCTGCAAATTTCCATTTCCCTTAAAGATCTCATTATGCAGAACAGTTTTCACCTGTAGTGATGTTGTGACCTACTTTTGTATAATTATCACAAGCATAGAAATGTTGAGTGAGCTTCTTGGTCAATTCTATTTTCTAAAATCTTTTTTCAGACTCCAATTACTGTCAATGGATAGCTGGAAAGAAATGTAGCAACTAAGCTTTGGTTTTACTGATACCTGTGAGGAGATCCAGAAATAGGTCAAATATGGTCTCTTCGCAGGGTGCAGTCCTTTAATTGACCTTTTCCCTATGAATTTCAGCTCAGCCATTTTAGCATTTCGTAGGTTCATATTAACAATGCGGTTCACATCTGAGTGTCTTATGCTTTGTAATTCTAAGGTATGAAAGGGTACTTTGGAGCCTTTGGTTTACTCAGCTCAAGCAGTGGCACTCCTATGGCTGAGACAAGACTGAATCTTCCCATTTTGTGGCATCTTTCCTTCCAAGATCCATCACATCCTGCACCTCAGAACAGCCATGACCCCAGCAGTCACAACTGCAACTGCACACAGAGCTACTCTGCTGAATTTCCAATATACCGAGAGATGATAATTCAGCTATACTGGATACTTTATACTGAGTATTTGTAAATTTTATTTTGCAGTCCTAAAACTGCAATTGAGTTCAAGAGGATTTTTAAAACAATATCCTGAATATGTTATGTAAATGATAGAAAATCTGCAATTATAAAGGATTTAGAAATAGTGTAGTATTAGAGCTCCCAAGTCATAAAACCATATTGTTACCTTATTAACATAATATAATATTCCTGCTGTGGGTCATATTTTATATAGTTTACCAGAAAGCAGGTTTATTTGCAGTTCAACAAAATTTGAAGCTATGCAATGTCTTGCATAAACTGAAAAGTGCAAGGCAAGAAATGCAGTCAAGGGGAATCCTACCATACCATTTCTTTGTTATATTGCTGAAACTCTCCCATCAGTCAGGGAATGGATTTCTAAGGGTTTCCCTGCCCTTGGGCAGCTCAGGGAGCCAGGTCAGTCAAGGAAGTCATCCTCTTGGTTTGGCATGTCAAATTCACAAGAAGACACAGAAAAAAGAGAAGAAATGAGGGAAACACCAGGTGGCAAATGCTGTTGTTGATGTAGCCTGTTTGAAAGCTTTGGGATTGTTTTTCAGTTCTTTAAAGATGCATTGTGGTGTTCACAGGTATCAACTTGGACAAAAATTATTAAGGGTGCATTTTTATTAGGAGTTAGTGGAGTCTGACTGCACCACTATGAAGTTTTCTGCTGTTCTTTTTGTAGGTTTATTAAAATCCTGTGTTCAATCACTTAATTCATTACAACTGAGCAAATACCCAGAGCTGTACCACGACATTTTATTGAAGCACAAGAAAAGTGAAAGCAATCCTTGGAAGCAAATAAAATTACATGTGTTTGCTGACCCCAAACTTGCAGAAAAGGGAGTTAAAATTAACTACTAATTTATTGAGTAAACTCTTATTGACTTCTAACTATAAAAGCAATAAGGCCTGGGATGGCTGACAGGAATTAGCAGTCCTCTCACCACAAAAATAGCAACTCAAAAAAGCATAATTCTAAAATCCTGTGCTATGGTACTATTACAACAAGACCCTCAGTATTTAGCAATTTTGAGTGGAGGCAAATGCTTCTGTATTAGCACTTGATTGCTCATCAGATTCTCAAGTGTTGATGTATTTTGGATTTCTGTCTTGAACTGCTTAGGAAGGCACATAACTTTTTAATAATATGACTAATAAATAGTTCCCTGTTTGTGCAGGTTAAGCGCTTATAAAAGGATTGCTCACTCTTAGCATGAGTGCTGCAATCCAGCTACACATTGCTGGCGGTATTGACATCCAGGTGACAATAATGCCAACAGTGCCTTGCCCCCAGCTTTTGTAATGTGCCCACCTCTACAACTCTGCAACCACCAGGGATGTAACCAGAGGTTTTGTGTGATTTCATGTTGTCTGTACTCATCTTCATGAACTAGGGCAGAGAAAAGCTTAAAGAAATCCAGGACAAGGTGGTGGAGTTGGCGAAGAGGTTAACTTAGTTTTGCCTGTATCTTCTTGTACCTTCAGTTCACAACAACGGCAATATCTACTCCCTTTATGTTCCTCATTTTTGAAGCTGCAAAAATATCCTGAAGTTCTTGCCAGTTTTGAATTTTTTGTGTTTGAGTCGTATGAGAAAATTGGTGTTTTGTCATGCAACATCTGTCACTCAGCCTCCCTCAGCTTGGAGTCACCATGTCTGCTTAATGCAGCAAATTATTTCAGCCACATTGTCCTCATTTGTCCTCAACTACTGCTGCATTCCCTTTACTGGAGATAGGTTAAAAAGCTGAAACATTGGTAACTGTTGGCAAGTTTTGTTTTATATCCCATGGCTGAATCCGACCATCTGCCCTGTTCAGTAAGTTGTGTCTCAGAGTTTCTCTTCCATATGAGGTAAAGAAGGGAAAATATTATGAAACCATGGATTCTATATCTTTATCCATATCTATGTAACTATATATATAGACATAATGTTTTAAAAAGGAACTTATACTAGTGCATAAATGGGACAAATATTTTCCATCTTATGCCTAGAAAATGGTATGATAAGATTCTTCTCCATAATCTATTAAATTCATCTGTTTCCTAAAAGAATCAATACTGAAAGTAAAGTTTGGTCTTCATAACTTTTTTAGTGTGTTACTTTTGTGCAATAGTGAAAACTGAATGCAGCAGGGAAGATGGTGTGCCTTTTCAGACAACTGAATTGAGCCGTTCCTTAATATTATTTTTAAATTACTAATGAGTTTTCCCTATTTTCTCAAGATTATGTTACAGCAGATAATCACTGTTACATAGGAAAGATTTTTTTTCCTCTCTGTGACTGGAATTTGCTAGAGTTACTTAAGAAAATTTTCATTTTTCTCTCAAACAATCCACTTTTGCTATTTCATATTACTGGTTTTTCAGGTTTGCTTAGCAAAAAGTGTACCTACAGTGTCTGTTTAAAAACATAGAGTAATTGGTTAAATCAAATGTACACAAATTATCCCACCCGCTGAAAATCTTTTAAGTTACATTTTAAAGGAAGGTACAGCTCTTACGTTAAAGTAATGGGGGGAAAAGCCCATGTGAACTAAAGAAAACAGTAACTTGATTCAGATGTTTACAACAACAGCTACTTCTATTTAAAAAATTAACTCCTAAATTCATCTTTGTATGTTTATAGAATCATAGAAGTAAGGGATCTTTTAAAGGTCCCCTGGTCCAAGACTAGCAGGGACAGCAATGAGCAGGGACTTCTTCAACTAAACCTTGCTGCTCAGAATCCCATCCAACTTAATTTTGAATGTTTTCAAGGATCAGGCATCCATCACCTCTGTGGGCAACTTGTTTCAGTATTTTACTGGAACAGGTTCTGAAGAATGTTCTGAGAACACTTTTTGAGGCCCTGGGACAATTATTAGGAGCTGAGGGTTCTCAGTAAGTGTAGAAGCAGCAGTGTTTTAGATGTCCTGCTGTTACCACTGTTTGTGCTATTTACCACTTGCATATTTTGATTCTCTTCAAATGCTTACTTTGGAGACAGCAACAGAAATAATGTGCTGAACTAGAGCCCAGTGGGTTTCCCCATTTCTTGGCTGTGTCCTTTGAGCTTGCCTATGAAAAGGCAAAAAAGACTGCTCAATCAGTGTGGTTGAGAGCAGGTTTAAAGGCTTAAAGGTGAATGAAGACACTTGTAGTATGCAGTTCTGTCAGTATGAAGGTACAAGTTAGAGCATAACCTAAAGTCAAAGGACCTGCCATGTTTCAATTTGGTCTGAATCTCTTAATCCCAAATCCAGTCTGCTGATGCATACAGGAATGTAAGCAAGGTCAGGGTATGGGACTGATGAGGGGGAGGAGATGTTTTTGGATAGCCTGAGCAGCAGTTTACTTTATATTTTATTGCACATCATCAACAATTCAGTTACCCTGATTAAGACTCTAAAATTTACTATGATGGTCTAAAAATGGCAATATACCAATATTTCCATACTAATTATATTATACCTGTTAATGTCTCTGCCTGTTTTAGTATCTTTGGTCCCTATGACCTTAAAAATTATCCAGCTGAATTGATTTCCTCTCAATTTTGTGGTGGTGGTATGCTTTTTTTAAGCACAGTACTGCAAAAAACAATTAAAATCTAAAGATTCATGTAGCTCTTTGTTTTAGAGTCATATATGTGTAACACACCTGTCTATTCTTTTTTATCAACTGTTTGGAAAATACATTTATATTTACTTTTTGTTAAAAATATTGATTGCGCTTTGGAGTAAAATTATGGCAACATTTAATATGGAAAATATTTTTTGGTGGGAATGATGCCCATAAAGATTTCATAATGTTTTCATTGTCTGAAGATCTAGTACAATATCATGTTCAGGCAACACTTTCTATGTAATTTAATGTTAAATGTCCCAACATGATACGAAAACTCCCCACTGGGGAGGAAAAAATGGCATTGCATATCCAAATAAGATTCATGTACAATTTTTTTAAAAAGGTCAGGGAATTGAAATCTATGCTTTAGGTAAATAACAGGTAAAATACAACAGCTAATCTTGAGAAGGTTGCCTAAAACAATTAGGGAACTTGGACTTTACTACCAATCAGTTTGACTAGAAAAAACTTGACTTAACATGAGTCAGACTAAAAAATGCTTGGCGTCGTTTCCACCGTGGCCCAGAATTTTGTATTATTTGTACTGTGAGAAAAAGGAGATTTTCTAACGCAAAGTACATCATCTCTGCCCTGGAAACTGCAAGGGCAATGCTGTTAAAAAGTATATATATTGTAAAATCTGCTCTCAGTAACTTCTGTTTTCCTCTTCTTGCTTCAGGATATCAAAAAAAGACATTGTGATCATAGGTGCAGATTTGCTGGTGGAAACCAAGTAATTTTGTCTTTCTTTTAATATTATCTCTTGTGTCCTCTGACTTTTTTGTGACTGGAGATATTGTTATGTACTCATTTTCTCAAGAGATCTAAATTATGAAGAAATTTGCCAATGTTGCTCAACACATGTGCAAAGATATGGCTTTGTCTAGATTTATTTTTTAAACATGTAAGCTGTCTACTTAGGCCATTTAGTAGTCACACATGCATGTAATGTTTCTAAATCACGTTCCTTCCTTGGCTGCCTTGGATTTTCCAAGTGGAATTAAATGCAGGATGTGGTCCTGTGTCCCTTAACACAGCGCATCTCCCCCTCTGCCATTCAGACTGATTGCATTTGGTCTGATCATTGGCACAGACTAACTCTCAGCAAGAATGATCCCCTTGGCTTTTCCAGGCTGTCTGTATCCCAAATGCACACTTACTCCCCAACCACTGCCATTCTGTAGCATATGCTCTTGTTCTTCCTCAGAGCTTCTTGATGTGGTCATACAGGCCCCCTGGGTCAAATACTGCAGCTGTTTGGAATTATCTTTTGGACACATGGGAAACCTAAGAGTGATTATGAATTTGGCAGACAAATCCAAGACATAGCCAAAAATACCCCAGATCTACAGTTTGTTTGGTGAGCTATAAAAATAAGTACCTATGTCCCAAGGAAATATATATGAAAATCAGTTTTCCTCCCAAAACTCTTGGTTGTTGCTTTCTGTGTTGTTACCTCCAAAACATAACAGGAATACAAGAATTGACTGCGTGTACATATTTATTTAGTTTCTATAGGAATAGATCATGTGACTCATCAAGGAGTGGTAGATCAAAAATTCAGCCTTACTACAACCCTTTTACACCATTCTCACAGTCCCTGCAGGCTGGAAGAGTTCATTGAAGCTCATGAAGCTTAGTGTAGTGAGCCTCTTTCAATTTTTTAAAATTTTTTTAAGGACTTAATCTCTGGGTGGCCTAGGACAAAGGGGAATGCCCCAGAAGTGAGGAGTCAAGTTGGAGTGTAACCAATGTCCTGTCTTCCCTATAGAAAATTAATTTTTGTGGAGCAATATTCAAATGCTAAAGAGTAAACAGCATGATATGTTGTACTGAAGTGCTCTTACAGGGCACTGTGTAGTGATTGGATTCAGGCTGTAACAAGAAATTTGCTCTGTCTATTGTCCCTCAATACTTAAACTGTTTCCCAAAAATACATTTTAGCAGCTAGGCTGTTCAGCTTGAAAACCGCTAAAGGAACTTAGTAGGCTGTTTCCATGGTTTACAAAAACACATCTTATAAATAGATTTTCCTACTGCAAAACCCTCTGTCAATTAATTCCTCCAATTAAACCTTAATAACATATACTTCTTGAGAATTTGCATTTGTGCCTTAGGCAGGGGAATCATGCATAGTAATTCCATGGACTATAATAGTCCTCAGCCTACCCTGGGATCAAAATTGTGTCCTTATTCTTCCCTGTGTTTATTGGAAGCTTTTGATTCCATCAATCAAGGCAATGTCAGCTTCGAAAAGGCACTGCTGGGTTACCACAAGTACTATTTTGGCATGTTTGGAGTAGTCTCAGGCAGAGCTCACAGATAGCTATTCTGCTCAACCTTTTTTCCTTCTTATAGCTCTTTAGGGTTCCATCTTCAGACCTTATTAGTCTTTTGTTGTTTTTTAAATGCTGGTATCTAGGCTACAGTAGCCTTTTAAAATATTAGATGTACCATGCAGATGACAAGGCTTCCTTTTTGAGCTGTCACTTCCAAACTTGGTTTGGTTCCTGCAGTTTCTGAGCTGCCCTGAAGACTTATTTCTGAGTTTCAGCCAAAAGAAACCACATTATTTTGCTTTTGTGACAAAACATAAGCTGTATGTGTGGAACCCACTATCATGCTGGACTAGCTCTTTTTTCACAGTCCCTTTGAGACTAATTTTTCCATTTCCTGTCACCACAGATTGCACTCTTGGAGGCAGTTTTAAATCAGTAATGTCTTTGATGTTTTTCTTTCACCATGCCAGGAACATTCCCAGAATGACATTGATGCTCTCCCAGGCTGTCCAAATGTGTATTCATGGCAGGCTTCTGCTAAGCTGCTGTAACACTCTCCCGCTCTGTTTGCTAGCTTGCCAGATGTGAATAAGCTCCAGTTAATTGAAAATACCAGATTTTGAATAGGTTGCAGTTAATTCAAAATGCTATGGCTAATACCAAAATATGATGTAGCTAAATTTTAACCATTGCATCTGTCTTCAGAGAAAATCAAATGACAGAAACATTTGTCAGATGTTTTGAACGTTTTCTTCTTAGGCTTCTTGTGCCCTTAAAGAAAAATGTACAGAGGATCTTTCCAAACAAAGCTGAATGCATCTGACATAACTGAGGATCAGGTAGACTAAATAGACTTGGTCTTCTTAAATGGCAGCTGAAAATGAAGTGCTAACATCGTGAATTGTTTTCTGATACTGCTGTGGAGTTGCATGCCTACAGATGGGAGGCATTAACTTTCTGTCTGTTACTCTAAGAGCTTCTTTTTTTGCTTGTGCCCTCTAGTATGTTAAGCTGGAAACTAGACTTTCTGCATAATTGTACTTTTGTGGTTATGGCAAAAACAACTTAGAAAAAAATTTTGTTTTGTTGTCACTGTTGGTAAGTCATATATTTTATAGTATTTATATTCCATCCATTTTGAAGTTGAGAGAGGTTGTTTGCGAAACCAGGTTCTAATACTTATGCCACTGTACCTTGAATAAAATATTTCTGAAGCTAGGATTTTGAATAGTCATGCTACATTAGAATTTTTGTATGGGCTAGAGCCATAGCAATTTCTGCCTTCCATGGTACTACTTCAATTAATAAAACAGATATTCGGGAAAAGATTTTGTGAAGGATATGGAAAAGCCTATGCTTTTCATTATAACAATGAAAATGAATGAATCTATTAACATCATATGATTCAAATAAAACCCCTGAGTTACCTACCTGATGGCACAGAGGCTCCAGGCAGGAGGGTGTGTGCTAAGGAAATACAAGTAGCTGAAAAGGGCAGTCAGAATAACTGAAGCTGTTAGACCAAGCAGGCTGTCATCAGTCCTAGACAGTAGGGTGAACATCAGAATGCTGATATGGGATTTAATTCTTTACAATTTAAAGGATGGGAATATGAGTCAACCAGCCTTTATGGCTTGTGGATCTGGTTTCATTCCTCTGATGAGATAAGTTTGCTTCATTAAAGCAATTGTTTCATACCATAGAAAGTGCCTTTCATAAAGCCCTGAACTGCATGTTATTGTAATTAGAGGTCAACACTATCTGATATTAATTAAGTGTAAATTAAATGGATTTAGACACTTGGTAGCTGGTATACATCAAGGTGGTGTCATGGAAGATTTATCACTGAATAGAAGTATTTCAAATAAGATTTTGCAGAGATGAGTTACAGGTCAAGACTATGAAATACTGTTTTATAAAAAACTGAAAAAGCAAATATAAAAGCACTGTGAATAAAATTTATGGATGATATAAAGCATGTCAAAGTATTGAGAACTGAGGAGCCAAGTTAAGCAATCTGGATGTCTTAAACTGGTAGGATGCAAGCAAAAGGTGAATTTAGATGTCAGGGTTCCTGCCTGCAGAGAGTCTTGCATGTGAGGCTGCACAGGCTGGGGTGCAGCTCTGCTCCTGTTGCTCACACTCCTCTTGCCTGGCATGCTAGTCTGGCTGAGGAGAACGACACTGACTGTGCTTGTGGCACCTGAGCCAGCTCCCTGCCCATACCCACTGGGCTGTCCCTGCACTCATCCTGTCCCCCTGCAAGGGTGCTCACAGACCAGCTGAAGTGGCACCCACAAGTAAGACAGGTTTGCTATTGGCTTCAGAATCGTTTATATGAGCAGATTATAAAAGTAATTATATGAGGTCTTAAGTTATGTTTTCACTGTTAGTTGTAATTTAAAGTTGTAATTTATTTACTAGCACAAAGCCTAATGAAAAGCAAGAGAACAAAAAAGTTTCGTATTATGTAAAATTCATTATGCAAAACTGAGTCTACAGAGATTACAGTGGTTGCACAAGTTGAGTGGGTGAAAAAGGAATTTGGAGCTGAAGGCTGGTACCTATTTGTCTGGATTTATTTGAGCTAAAGGTGAAGTCTGATAAAATTTAAAATATCCAGGTTTTTGATGTCCATAACATTAAATATAATATGTGTAAAAATCCAGAACTATGTATATGTTTGTCTACCTGTTTTCTCTCTCTGGTATCAAATTTTACAAAGAAAAAAAGAATTTAAAAAAATTCAGGCCAATTACTGGTTTGTGCCATCATTTACCATAGGACAAATCCCCACAACTATTAAAAGGAGGGTGCACAATCCTTGTTTCCACTTCATCTCTTTTGCTGGTGCCAGCTCATGTGATGTTCCAGGATGAGGGAAGGTCAAGGAACAGTTTTTGTCAGCAAATTCAGCCAGGAGCATTGTCTTCCAGCCCAAGTGCTTCCCTGCCCTGTCCCATTGTGGGGTTGTTTAGGCTCCAGCTCTGGTGGCAGGTGAGCACAGGGGCAGCGCCGCCTCTTCATGGCAGAGCTGCAATTTGTGCTGGTTCTCAGCCTTGAAACACCTCAGTGGCAGTGGCTACTCACATTTGGCTTTGCTGTTCTCCTTGTCCTTGCCATGTTTTGCTGTGCTCTCCTTCCCTATGTGTGGGATTTCCAAACCCATGGTTTACTTACCCATGGATTGCATTTTGCACACCTGTTCGTCTTGAGTAGGGGGATACAGAATGGGTAAATGAAGGTGGTATGGAATGTAATCTTATCCCCTAAAGAGTTGCAGCTAACCAATTACTAAAGATTAGGATCAGGCCAGATCTTAACAGGCCACAACTGTAGCCAATAAGAAGAGTGTTATAAAAGAGTGGATTGGTGGGAACTGGAGTCAGTTGGCTGCTGCAAGGACCAGGAAGGGTCAGTGCTCAGAGGAGCTGCCTGCAAAAAACATTGAGACGGTATGAAACCCTGGTCATATGGAATCCTTGCACTATAATGATGTTAGAACTCTTGGTGTATAAGACAACACTTGAGGTTGATGGTTTTATTTCCTGAGTGGAAGTTGTCTTCCAAGGGATGAAAGCTGTTGTGGACAGGGTTAGGGATGACACACAAGCTTTGCAAATAGATATGGAGTGGTGTTTTTTTCTGTTAGAAATGCTCTAGAATAACAGAGCGATTACACCAGAAATGGATAATCTAATTTTCTTGCAGTCTAGTTATACACCTCTGTGTTCTCCTTGTTGCATCTGGCAAATTACTCAGTCAGAAGTACAAGAGTGAAAAATGGATGGTTTGGCTCCCTGAAGCAAATGTAGCCCAAGTGCGTATTTTACTGTAAGGTACAGAGCATGAAGGTGTCAGATGAAAACTCTCATCCCAAAACCATATGAAACAAATACCACATTAACCTTAAAATAAATTTTAAGAGAGGTCCATGTGGAAAACCTGACTGGAACTACAGCTGACCTTGTATGTACAGGAAAGTTTATAATTCCCATTTGCTGAAAAGTTTAATTCAGCAGTACTAAGACCAATTTATGAAGTTCGGTATAAGAGGGACAGCTTGCAAAAATACTTGTTATAAGTAACAAATAAAGAGACAGGAAAAATTAGAGTGATGTTTACAAGCCCAAGGTCTGGAAGCAATGACATTGAAAAAGGCAGTGAGAGCCACAAACTCCAAGTGAAAAGAGGCAGCTGGTCTGCTAAGAGGTGGGTGCTGTTGCAAGGCCAGAGATGTTCCTGTTAGCATCTCTAAGATTAATTAGAAGCATGAAAAGAGAGTGAGCTCTCCTGGGAAACAAAACATTTGATAGCAATATACCTGTTTTGCTTTTCATAATAATGGAATAAAATATTGATCCACCAAAAAACATTTCAGAAAACCATGAATAATTGCCCCATGGAGACAGAAGGGAGGCATGCGTGGGTGCAGAGCTTGTTTTTATTGTGTGGGACAGCAAGGAGGTCCTGGGCTCCCCATCTGTGAGAACCAATAAGGGGAAGGGGAGTAGCTGTGGAAGAGGAGCAGGATTTTATAGCATCCTTCTGCAAGGACATCATCCATGTCCTTCTCCAAGCTGCTATCTGGGGCTTCACTCATGACCTTTGGAGGCTTAGTTGTCTCCTGCTGCCCCACCACCTGTAACCACGGTGACATCATCCCAAAGAAGCCACGCATCATTCTGGCTGTGACTGACAGCTTTCCAGGGCAGCCAGGGAGATGGAAAATAACAGTGTTACTGCTGCTGCAGGTGGTGAAAAATAAATACAGCTGAGTCCCAGAGAAAGGTCCTTGCAACATCAAATGGGGTAGAGCAACTTAAATCTAATAATCTCATTGTTACCTTTCTCTTTCCTGATGTCAACAGGTGAGAGAAGCAGAAAATGAAGGTAAATAAAGAGGAAAAGTTTGAGAGAAAATGAGGAAAGAGCAGGCTGATTGAAGTAGAAAGCAAGTGTAAATAAATGGCCTCTCTTGGCCTCCCCAGGCATACTTTCCACCAAGGTGTAAATTCCAATAACATATGCGTAGTCTGTGAAGTAATTTAGCGGAGAAATTAAAGCAGTGGACAGTCAGGAAGTACTACATTAACACGTTTAAAGACCTCTAAGTAGCTCTGTGTGATGGGAGGCTGGGGCAGCAGGAGGTTTCTGGCTGTGTATCCAGAGATGCAGTCCCTGCTCTCAGGTAAATGGGACTGCTTTGTGCACTGCAGTCTGACATGATCTCTGCTCTATTGGATGAGAATTGAAGGTAGCAGAACAGTGGGCAAAGAGGTGCAGGGAAGGTGAACCAGCACTGATGATGGAAACAATTCTTTCAGTGGCATCTAAATGACAGTGGTTTGTTACTGTGCCGCCTATTGCACAGCATGCTGAAATGACTTTTTCATGATAAAATGCAGCGTTTCTCCTCTTGGGACTTAACGTAGGTGGCTTTTTCTCTTGCTTCTATGTGATTTCTGTGCCCCTACAGTCACTCTGTGAGCATTATTGGTGTTCTTATTTATGCAAAGGCCTTTCTCCAAGATTCAGTTTATAGTGAATTGCTCAGGAATTACATTATATTTTTTATCGTCTAGTTCTGCAGTCTTTCCATAAAATCCAACCACAGCATGGAAATATGTATGGTACATTTATAAAGTCTTCCATATGTAAAACAAATTAAGCTCTAACATTACACTCCAGGCTATTGTGCTGGTGGGAGACCAGGATTCTGCAGTTGCACTCCATGGGAACATTGCTGCTTTTTGAAGTGTACAAGCACGCTGATGCATTATCTACCTGATATGTGTTTGAAAGTGTGAACTATGAATTACCAGGTCAATAAAATGGGGATACTACAGAGGACAGGCTGGAAACAGTATGCATTGAAGTCACAATGATGACAGCTTGTCACTTAGAGCTGTTTCAGCAGGAATACCTAGCAAGCAGTATGCAAATATGAAGGCATCATGACATTATCAAACTCATGGAGTGCAGAGTTCACCAAAAAAGCCTGGTAACTGAGAAGCTCAGCTAGATATTGCTTGATGCACACCTGAGCCAACTTGGTTAAAGGCTGACATCCCCAGGAGAGCAGTTCTGCTTCAAAGTTACCAAATGTGTGATCCTACAGGACTAAAAACTGGACCACAAAGACCAATCATGAGAATTAAATCCCAGTCCTGAGATTTACTGGCGCCAAGGACTATTTATTCTCTCAGCTCATTCTAATATGGTCTGTAATTATTGGCTTTTAATTCTAAAATACAGAAGTGCACTAGCACTTCACTCAAAGCACTGTCTTGCTTCTGCTGTGGACAGATATAACTGTCCTGTTACTGACTGGGTGACTCCCACAGAGTTTTTCATTGCTAAATATGTCCTTTCAGGAAGTGCCTTCATAAGTGTTCAGATGCTGTCTGAACTGAGAGCAGTAAGTTTCTTAAAAACAGCTGATGCTTCCCTTCTCTACTTCCACCACCCAATAAGTTGCTTCATTAGACTCAGAAAAAGTTCCAAGTATTTTATTAATTTTGGAAGAGAATGTAAAGAAAATTTGCCATTCTCTTTCCCCATGTAGTTAATGAAAAAATAAATTAGAATACATTTTTGAGGATATAAATTATGTGCAGGCCTGCCTCCCTCTTTTACTTTTTATGCTATGTTTTCAAATTTGCTCCTATTGTGTTATCCACTGACATCCCTACACATTAGGCTATGCATTTAGTAACACAACTTATGCTAAAAAGAACATACATTTAGAAAATGCAAGTGCTATATTTGTAAGCAAAAAGCTGATTTTACACTGGTGTGTTAAATTATGAAATCTTTTCTTTCCATCTTTCTCTTCCAATCAATTAGAATTTTTAAACAGAAGCAAAAAAGAGGGACTCAGTGTCTAGTCTGAGACAGTGAAAGCTACATCTCTTGTGTTCCTACCTCATAGCAGAGTAGTCTTTATTATTTTAAAAATATCCAAGTAATTTGGCAATATTCTTTTTTCTTGTTTTTATTTCATGAGACTTTCTACAGGGTAAAGGTGAAAAAAGCATTACACAATCTTGAATCATTTTGCAAACACCTTGAAGAATTGAATAATTATGCTTTATTTAATCACGAATATTTGAATATAATTCCAGTGTAAGACAGAAACAATATGATCTTTCTTTTTCAGTATCAAAATGAGGGGGAAAAGTGCACTTTTATCATCATGTAAAATACAGTTATCAGTATTTTGTATGTTGCAATCATAGAGAAATCTTAGCTGTATTTCGGATAGCCTGTGCATGAATTTGGTAGAGAACCCAAAGGTAGAATTTTCATAA